TCTTGTTTATTTGCTTGTTTGTTTTTGCAGAGCCCAGGTCTCAGGCAAGGCACACTCTACCGCTTAGCCTCACACCCAGATAACTTACTAGAGGTGAAGTTGTATTAGCTTTTAGGAGGTTGAGTGTGAGAAGAGAGCCATCTGTCAGAGACTTCCTTCAAACACCTGTCAGAGGCTTCCTTCAAGCACCGGCCTGGGTGAGGTCAACCAGTCTGAGCATGAAAAATCCCATGCTCCCTCCCCTGCCCTAAGTAGATTTAGTCTAAGATTAATGACGGTGGTCCCAGACACTCCTCAGGACTGGGCCTCAGGCAGCCGCTGCCATCCCTGGTTTACTAGGAAACTGTCCTACAGGGATTCTCAATGAAGGCGTAAGGGATTCTCATCCATTCACCGGATGCCAATTCTCCCTCTGGTGAACCAAGCTATGAGGCAGGTTTTTCTTGCCCAAGGCTTGGGAGGTGTCCAAAGAATCACTGGGCCTTTTGTCTGATCCCAACTCCCCAGCGTGGGCAGAGACTGTGGCTCCTTCTCTCCTTGTTAGCAGGTTCCCTGGAGACTCGCATGATCTCAAGGTCCAGGCACTTGCCCTACTTGGAAGCTTGTTTAGTAGCTGGAGGCTCAGGCAGCTGTGAAGCTTTAGCACTGATGGGGAGGGTTCTGTCTGGTAAAAATTGCCTGAGTTTCAGAGTCCAATCACTACACACACACCCTTTCCAGCAGTTGAGGGGGAGGCTCACTTAGTTGGGGAGCTCACTGGTACCCTGAAGAATTGAATTCCCCCAGAGTCTGCCCCCTGGCCCTGCTAAGTTTATCATTTGAGCGACAGAACCTTAGAAGCAGTTGGCTTTGCCCAGGCAGTAGCTAGAGCTCAAACTTCCGTTCCCCATGGCTCCAAAGCAATGGGCCGTGGGGCCCTTTCAAATATGTGGGTTGTGGATTGATCATCCTCTGGGGATAAACTGATGAAAATTGTATGAGATGCAGTGCTGGTTTCTGGTTGTGTCCGTCCTCCCTTTCCTTCCCTTTTTGCTATGTTACATGAACAACTGGGGTCACACCTGGCTGTGGTGTTTGCACACTTGGCTGCAGGGCTCAGCAGGTCACACAACTCACAGTGCTCACTTACTTGAGGTGCAGTGCTCACAGAGGATTGCTCACTTGGTTGGAATGTCCACACTACTGCAATGGCACAGCATAGGGGGTGATGTCAGGGACCAGACCTCACACCTGATAGGCAGGAAGTGCACTACTGAGTCACAACTCTGGGCCCTTCCAGTTGTGTTTTAAGGGGTCCTTTTTCCTGATATGGTCTATTCCTCTACCTTGTAGCATGTTATGTTGGCATGGTCCCTAAAATAATATATACAACAACCCGATAACCTGTACCTACTCAGGTAAAAAACATAAACATACAGAATGCCTACAAAGGAATGAAATTGAACTTCTGCCACAAAATACAAGAAAATGAAGTTAAAATTTTGACTAACTATTCTATTGTAAATACATGTACACATAGGTACCTGTGGTGATAGATGTATAGAGAGTTCCATATAACTGTGGGGCTTACTGAGGGCCAAAGCCGGATGTTTGGAACAGAAATCATATTTTCATTATTCAAGTAAGTAATAGCCACCAGAAACTTGAGAGATAAGCTAAGATGTTGTAAAATAAAATGGCAAAAGTTAGTCCACAGAGAGCTAAAGCGTGAAGATACAAAAAAGTTGAAACTTGGAAAAGAAATGGAAATATTAGAAACTGGGGCCAACGCAATAGTGCAACAGATAAAAACACTTGACTCACACACAGCTGACCCAGGTTCAATCCCCAGTACCCCATATGGTCCCCCAAGCCCTGCCAGGAGTGATGTCTGGACACAGAGCTAGGAGTTAGCCCTGAACACCACTGGGTGTGTGCCCACAACCAATAATAATAATAATAATAATAATAATAATAAGTAAATAAAATTGTAAACAAAGCCAAAAGCTGATGCTTATGGCCATACTACAATTTTTTAACTTTAAAGAAATTATTTAAAGATGGCTAATCAAGATAAAAAAAGAAATAAACACAAATGCATGTCATAAAAAAGCGAGAGAGGCCACAGGTGTTGGGGTTGTGATGATGACACTGCACACAACCATCGCAACCAATAAGAAGACCTCAGTGGAACAAATACTCCTCTAGTCAGTGCTCCAAACTAACTTTAGTAAAAATGACAACCAAAATTTAATAAAATTTAATAACAGCCATAGGAGAAAATGAGAAGCTTTTTAAGGGCTTATAGTATACCCACTCAAAAAGGGAACTGAGCCCATATGGCTTTATGGGTGAATTCTTCCAAACCCTCAAAAGACTATATTCTTATGTTATATGAACTGATCCAGATGTTAGCAAAGGCTTTAACGCTTTCCAATTAATTTTATGATGCCAGCCTAACCTAGATACTAAAACTGCTTGAAGAACAATAAACAGATCTACCAAGTAAAGAAAATAGAACATTTAAACACAGGCCCCAAGACACAGTTAGGAATCCAGTAGCAAAAATGGTAGCATTTCAAAATATAGGAAGGTGATTCATCATATGTAGTCTTGGTATCACCAAAGAACAATTTTGATCAAAGTCATGCTGGGTCCTTGTCTTATTCACTTAGGAAAACATGAAAAGATTTGGCTATGTAAAAATGTGTAGTTCCTAACTGTCGAAAGTTATTAAATGGTAAAATAAAACTGACAAAGAAAAAAAGAATTATCCCATCAATGACAGGGAGACCGTCATCATGCATATACATACAGTATTCTTATAAAAATGATAAAAGAACAACATTGTTGTTTTAACAGTGGATGAGAACAAAAGCAGGCTATTTATAGTAGCACTGTAGCACTGTCCTCCCTTTGTTCATGGAATTGCTCTAGCGGGCCCAGTAATATCTTCATTGTGAAAGCTCCCTGAGGTGTATTCAATATGTCAGACACAGTAACAACAAGTCTCACAATGGAGATGTTACTATAGTAGAATAAGTATTAATTAAACATATGATATGTAAATATAAAGCAATTATTAAAATATCACCAAACATATATTGGTCAACATCCTCAATTATGAGTGTAATAAAAATTTAAGTGGGCCAAAGAGATAGTACAGCGGGCACTTGGCCAACTCATAAGGTCCCCTGGGCAGCGCCAGGAGAGATCATGAGTTCAAAGCCAAGAGTTAAGCCTTAGCACCACTGCTGCCACCAATGGTAAATCCTTACCATTGCATGGGTGAAGGTGCCACAAAATGAGTTTATGGGAGTAATTACAGTGTTAACTATGCAGTCTTTCGAAAGGGCTATTTGATATATACCAAATGTCCTACTATTCAAATCCTTTGATGTAGAAATTCCATCTTGAGTGTTCATCCAAAATCGAAAACCATACAAAGTCTTAACTACAAAAATATTCAATATAAAATTAGTGGTTGCAATATAGAAGAACTTAAAATAGCCAAAATATTACATGTTAATTAGTGTGATGAAGGTACAGTCACACAATAGGATGTACATTCTTCTCAAATTATATTGTGGCCTAAGAGAGTTCAATGGGCTGAGCACGTGCATTGGATGTGGGAGCCAAGGCTTAATCCCTGCCCTCCGAGTGAGTATAGTTGGAAATTGCTCCCTCAAGCACTGAGCTAGGGATAGTCCCCAAACAACACTGGGTGTGGCCCAAAAACTAAAATTATAAAACTATATTACAGAAAATATTTAATAATCAGAGTAGACATCTATGAGACTAGATATAACCTATGTAGTAGTGCCATATGGTGAAAGCAGATTTTCAAAACAATATTTTTCATCTATAAACATGGGTGCATACATTAATACATACATATATGTGTGTACACATATTTTTTCATACACCCAGAAATGCCCTAAAATAGTATTTTTTACTATGCAGCTTTCAGGAGAGATGAAGTCATGAACTTTGCTTACAAATGGATAGACATGGAGAGTATCATGCTAAGTGAAATGAGTCAGAAAGAGAGGGACAGACATAGAAGGACTGCACTCATTTGTGGAGTATAAAACAACATAACATGAGGCTAACACCTAAGGATAGTAGATACACAGGACAGGAAGATTGCTCCATAGCTGGGAGCCTGCCTCATGAGCAAAGGGGAGAAGACAGCTGGAATAGAGAAGGGATCACTAAAAAAAGATGGCTGGAGGAATCAGTTGGAATAGGAGATGTGTGCAGAAAGTAGATAAAGGACCAAACATGATAACCTCTCAGGGTCTGTATTGCAAACCATAATGCCCAAAAGTAGAGAGAGATTGTGGGGAATCATATCTACCATGGAGGCAGAGGGAGGGTGGGAAAGGGGGGTTATACGGGGACATCGGTGGTGGGGAATGTGCACTGGTGGAGGGATGGGTGTTTGATCATTGTGTGATTGTAACCCAAACATGAAAGCTTATAACTATCTCATGCTACCGAGAGTATCTCGCCCCCACTGCAAAGCCTGGCAAGCTCCCTGTGACGTATTCCATATGACAAACACAGTAACAATTAAAAAATTTAAATAGTAATAATAATAATAAATAAAATTTAAAAATAGTATTTTTGATTGGAAGGTAGGGTTTTTAGGAAAATTTTATGTTCTTCTTCCAAATTAACACTTTAAGGTTTTACAAAATGATCAGGACTTCCATTTGAACATACTAGTGAAGCCTATTTGGCAGCACATGGTTGGCAGCAAGGAACCAGTGGGTGCATGGCCCCACTGCATGAGCCCCTCGTTGTCCCACGAGGGCACAACTTTAGGCTCCTGCCAGGCTGCAGGCAGTCCTAAGGGTCTGCAAGTCCATCTCCCTCATTGGCTGAGCCCTTCACCTGCACATGGCCAACAGCACCCAGCCCTCCGCCTCTTTTCTACAAACTTTCCTCGCTACAGGGGAAGACACGCCAGGCCTGGAGAGGAGAAGAACCCAGAGGGCAGAAAAGCGGGAACTCACCTTCAATTTCTCCTCCAGGGGCGGAGATTTTCGACATGCTCAGGTAGGTGGTGGCCACGATGTCATTGTGGGTGAGGCGGTCCCTGGAGCAAGGGGGCAGAGAGAGACTGAACACAGGCAAGGCTCACAAGTCCCAGGTCACCCGGAAGGAAATTGTGCATAGTTCAAGGTGGCCTGGGCGTCATTGGCAAGAGACCGGAAGGAAAGTGTTGGCTGGAACCAAGTGTCAGCTTCTGGGTAGCCAGCAGACACTGCTCTGGGGTCACCTGCAGAGCGAGATGCAGTGGCCAGAGGCCAGAGGCTGCTCCCAGAGCCAGATCCTGAGCCAAACCAAGCAAGGCTCTAGGAGCTCAAGGAATATCTATGGAGAGCCGGGGAGAGAGTAGAGGGCCCTCCCCTCGTTCAAGGCCTGGAACTACTGGAAGCCCAGAACCGCTAAGTATAGCCCTAGAGACCTCCAAGTATGGCCAGGCATGACCCTGGTGTCCCCAGCACTGCAGAGCCTCAGCGGTACCACCTGCTTGGATCCAACCACTGAACGGCCAGCCCTGTGCCAGTAGCTGAGAGCTGCTGTGTATGGCCCTGGCCCCACCCTGAGCACTGCCTGGGAACAACTGGCCCCTCAAAAAAATTTCAAAGAAAGGTCCAAGGAGAAGGTCAGTTGCCCAGGGAGAAATCGTGTCTGAGGCCTCCATTTGAATTATCCAGGCCAATGCACTGCTCCTTTTAGTAGCAGGCTCTACGTGCAACAAAGCACTGTTATCTTTAACTTGCAGGACCCTTGTCACAGCCTTCTGGAACGGAGCATTTTATCACCCTCCCTGTGGCCCAGACAAACAGCAGAAAAGGATTTTCCCAGCGTCAGTCTGGATAGGAAGCACAGAGGCAGTGTGAGACCCCGGGGTCCTGACTCAATCTCCCATCATGCCATGGCTCTTGTTCCTGGGACAGAGCCTGCACTCCCAGGGGGAAAGTTGGTCCCCACCCCCCCACACACACCTGCACAGCTCAAGGTTGGAGGGGAAACTGTCCGGGAAGCCACCCCACTGGGGAGTCTATGCACCAGCACGGTCCTGGGCAGAGCTTCCGGTGCCACGGCAGCTGCCTCCTGATAACATCGGGTATCAAGAACTAGCACTTAATGCCCTTCAGACAGCCAACCACTGGGCTAAAACCATCGCGAGGCTCGGCCCATTCAATCCTCATGTCAGCCTAGGAAGCAGGAGCCACAAGAAGCCCCACTGTCAAACGAGGAAACTGAAGTTGACAAATTGCACAATCTGTCAAGAGGACAAAGCTGGTGGGGTGAGAGGCTGGACATGCTGGAGGTAGAGTTGAACATTGAGTATGTGAGTGTCACCGGCTACTTCCTGCCCAGGCTGGACCAGAGCTCAGGCTGGTGGTTTTGACCACTGGAGGACATTATTGTAGACATTTTTGGCATAGTGAGGAGTGTTGGGGTAAAGGGAAACCCTGGTTGGGGCTAAAGCAATAGCACAGCAGGTGGGGCATTTGCCTTGCACACGGCCGACCCAGGTTCGATTCCCAGCATCCCGTATGGTCCCCTGAGCACCACCAGGAGTAATTCCTGAGTGCATGAGCCAGAAGTGACCCCTGTGCATCCCCAGGTGAGACCAAAAAAAAGCAAAAAAAAAAGTATCCCAGAGAATTTTCTCTGGGATATTGAATTTTCTGATCCAAAAGGTCACAAGCTGAGAAGGCCCACTCCGGGTCAGGCAAGACCTGTCTTCTTTCTGACATTTCCCTGGGTGTCTTTCCCTCCTTCTTGGAACCCAGTTCACCCTCTCTCCCTACAGTGCGTACTCTGGCCAGAGGTACAGCGATGTCCCCAGGCCCCAGACATACCTCCACACAGATGTTTTCTTTGTCCGGAAAGTCTAACCCCACAAGACACCCCTTCCCTTCTGCACCTTCCTTCCTCCCTGTGTTTCTCCTGGAAGTGATTCACTTTGATTTCTACAGGTTTTCATCCAGGAAGGGGGTAGGGAGCTTTGATATTAGGGAAAGTAAATTTCCAGCACATAATAAATAAAATTAAAAAATAGCATTTCACTTATCATTTGTTCCTGGAGAACGATGCTAGTGGAGACAGTAAAGGGGATGTTACCTTCAACATTTTATGATGAGGAAATCAGCACCACCTGTCCCAAATTTCACCACACAATCGCCGCAAAATTTTATGGCAAATGTGTTGTGGTTTTGTTTTTGTTTTTTTTTTGTAAAAAAAAAAAGTGGAGTGCAGAAAAAGAAAATAAGTGGGGTGCAGCCATTATGTGAAGCTTTTATTTCCATTGTTTCAGTACTGCTGGGGGGGGGGGGGGGAAAGAGGTACAGTGATAACAAGGTTCAATGCAGTGTCTGGAGTCTGGCTTCCTCCCCGGAGAGAAGGAAGACTCCTGACATCTGGGTTTCTCTGAATCAAGTACGAGGACGGGAGAAGAGGGGGGTTCTTTATCAAGGGTAGTTTTGGAGGTTCTTATTTCAGGGTTCTGGACCCAAGTGGTGGTAGAGGTCAACGTGGGTTTCCTTATGCAAAGCCTGCATTCCAGCCCTCTGAGTTAACTCTCTGGCCAGATTTTTATTTTTTTTTTTATAAAAAAAAGGGGGGGCCTTTTTGGTTTGTTTTGTCTTGAGTTTTTTTGTTTGGGGGCCACACCTGATCATGCTCAGGATTTACTCCTGGCAGCGCTTGGGGAACCAGATGCAGCTCTGGGGATCAAACCAGGGTCGGCCACATACAAGGCGAGCACTTGAACTCCTCTTGTACGATTTTGCCAACCCTGAAAAAAAAAAAAGTATTTTTGTCAAATTGAATGGAAGTCAAAGATACAGGGGAGGAAAAAAGAAAAGCCAATATCATATTTCCAGGAGTCAGGTAATAACAAAAGTTTATCTGAGTTTTCTGGGAAGAAAGCACTTTTCTGGATAGGAACTTGTAACAGCAGAGTGCTTGCTGGCCAAGAACTGGGTTTTGGGGTTTGGGGTTGCTTTTGGAAAATACAGCAAGTCTGAAAATAGACTCACAATAAAAATGCCACTTCAACCCAAAGCAGAACCAAACCACCAGATGCCGTCATGTGTTTGGATTGTACAGTATGCTGCTGTCTCAACACAGCCCCCCTTGAGTCCCGGCAAGTCCTGCAACCCCGGGACCCCACCCTAAGGGGGGCACAGACTCCTGTGCACCCACACACTCGGCCCCCTCCCCCGGCCCCGGTCAGCCCAGGCACGCACACGTGTGCGCAAGCCCCAGGAGCCGAGACAGAGAGCGAGCTCTGTGACCTAAAGCTCAGCTCAGCTGTCTCCAAACCGCTTCCCCCCCACACATACCGCGGTCGGCCCGAGGCCTCTCCCTCCTGGCCCTGCCCGCCTTCCCTTCCTCGCCTCTAATTCTCACAAGCTGTTTTCTTTAGGCTTGGGGAACTGGCACGCACTTTAATGGCTCTGTGGCCTGGGGGTTTTCCCTGGTCTCTCATTATCCTCCTGGCTGGGGGTGCCATGGGCCTGAGACCAAAGGAGGACACGCTGGGAACCACACGGCCAAGACTTTTTGGGGGCAGAGAGAGGGCAAGTCCCTCTGTTTGGAAAGCCTGGCGCAGAGTCGGTCGTGGGGAACACACAGCGGTGCCCCTGAGCTGGCGGTGGGCACCTCGCCGGGGCAGTCAGCAGCACCCAGGGCTGAAGAATGCAGGCTCTTGGCCACTGGGCAGGGTGCACGCAGGGCAGGTCACTCCCCTGACCTTTGCAAACCCACTGCGCTGTCCTCCCAACAGTAGAAGCCTGAGCTGCGGTGCAGGAGGGTTCCAGGGGTGTTAGGTTTGGTTTTAACTTTACGTTCTGTTTTGTTTGGGACCCCACCCAGCAGTGCTCAGGGCTGACTCCTAGCTCTGTGCTCGGAGGACTCTGTGCTCACTTCTGGTGGGGCTCACCCCTATTTAGTGCCCAAAATCGAACTGAGGTTGGTGGCAGGTAAGCCCCCCTAGATCCACTCTACTATTACTATCTCTCTGACCCCATTAATTGATTTTTTTTTCTTTTTCAAAAGCATCTAGATAATTGTCATCCTCCCTTTGTGTGGCAAAGCTGCCCAGGACAGCCTAGCGCTGGTCCCCAGCCTGGGTCCTCCCTCCTCCCCACCCACAAGAACTGCCCTCCCTGCATATGGAGCCCCAGTGTGCGTGCACACACACACACACACACACACACACACACACACACACACACACACACTCCTGCCTTTGTTGATGCTGCTCTTCTCGCTGACTGTCCCTTACCGCAGACTTACCAAACTCACCTCACCCAGAAAGTTACCAGGTTCCCCCAGGAGGCCTGAGTCCTCCTGGGAGAGGGTCCCCCACCCCACTGGAACAGACTCTTGGAGATGCCCCCCCAGGTTGACTGAGACTCACCAGTCGACGACTCGGATCCGCATCTTCTCACACATGGAGGGGAACTGCGGGGGAAAGATGGGCAGTTCGGGGGGAGCAAAGGCCCAGGTGATCCCCGAGGGCTGTGGGGAGTCGGGGAGGTGCCTATGCCCTCCTTGTGGGGAAAGCCCTCGGACAACTCACCATGGCAGGCAGCGTGATGCTCTGGTTCCACTGTGGGTTGGCCGTCTTCTCCAGGATCTTGCTGCAGAGCTGGATAAACAGGGGTTAGGTGAGTGGAGCTGGCGGGGGGGGGGGGGGGGGGGGCGGCTGAGCCCCCTGTGGACAGCCACATGGGCACCAAGGCCCTGAGGGTGTGTGGTGGGCACAGGAGGCACAGGGCAGGAACTAAATCGAAGAGACAGAGTTCAAAGGCTCAGTCAGAGCAGAACTGGGCAGGGGAGGGGCTGCCGTGGGATTCACTCCACACACCTTTGCCCCTCTCCGGTCCTCGCCTGTAGCTGGCTGAACATTCCCCAGTGCCATCATTCACAAGGACCCTAAATGCAAGGCCCTGAGTTCAGACTGGCTTTGCCAGGGTCCCTAGAGCCCAGGCAATGCCCTGGGGAAGATGAGAGGCAGGGGTGGGCAAGGGAGGGCACTGGGCAGCCCAGGTGTGTGTGCGAGTGAGAATCGGCAGTACCCGTCCAGCCGCCGGCCCTATATCTGTGCTTCCACACAGGGAACAAACCCTGCAGATACGCGAAGAGGAACCAGGCTTGTAGCTCAGGGTCTCCGCCCCACTCCTGGGGGTCCCAAGAAGGCCCCATGGCTTTATGTTGGACCCACTCAGGGGCCACAGGACTGGGCTTCAGTCATCCAGAACATGGTAGGTTTGAAGACCTTTTAAAAGCAGAGGTGCGGCAGGGCGATGGTTCAAAGGACACTTTGCATGCTGGAGGCTGGGTTCAAACCCCAGCATCTCAGGGACCCTAAGCAGCACCCAGAGCAACCCCGAGCCATAAGCTGGCGTGGCCCAAACACAGCCACAATATTAATCATCCTCCGGAGCAGAGCGTTTGCTCTGGCTCCCCGCTTCCAAGCATTTCCTCATTTTGTGAACACATCAGGGGTGCTTCTGTTCCTCCATCCAATGAGGGTGCAGTTTCCCAGGGGCCAGGACATGGCCTTCCCCCACCGTCAAGGCACCCAGTGCCAATGTCTGTCCCCACATTCTTCTCCCCTGGGACGAGACCCACGGCAGTGGGTTCTGGGGAGGGTGGTGCCAGCACACAGCCACACTGTGAGCAGAGGATGGTCAGTCATTAATTAATGGCCAACTCACTCTTGGCTGTGCTGAAGTTTGGACAATAAAAAAAAAGAAGAAGAAAGAAAGAAAGAAAGAAAGAAAGAAAGAAAGAAAAAAAGAAAGAAAGAAATTCTAACAGTAGTTCTCTCCACAGTGGTGTGAGAAGTACAGAAACACAGTCACTTATTTTCATGCTCCTTGATTTCCTCCGATTTTCTTTAAATTTTGCCAAATGAAATTTCTATCCCAACAATCAGTGGAACTATTCCACAGTCAGTGTCAGTGTTCCTGCCTTGCAGTACATCTCCTTTCCTCCTCTCCTATCTGGAAAACACACACACACACACACACACACACACACACACACACACACACACATTTGTCAGCCTCTTAGTGGCTTACCTAAATCAAGCAAGCCACACGTCTTAGATTAGAGTGCCACCCAGTGTCCATAAGAGAAAATGCAATGAGGGCAAGGCAGAGAAACGTGGGCAGAGAACAAAATTCTTCAGACCGAAATGTAATGAGATCAAGAAACTCATAGCTTAAGGGGGTAGGGGTAGGGGGGACAAGGGGAGAAAGAAATGGCAGGAAGGGCGGAACAAAGAGAGGAAAGAGACCATAAGGAGATGACCAGGCGAGGAGGGGCATGTGCAGAAGCCTGAGGACCACCAGAGAAAGCTGACAGGCTAAGGCTTTCCAGAGTCAATGTCTCAACTTCCTCCTTCACGATAAGCCACTTGCTGTAGAGGGGAAATGGGGCCTAATTTGCAGGAGCCATGAGCTTTACCCAGTTTGGGTCAAATCCTCACCCTCCACCTCCTCCCCCGGACCTCCCTAGAGAAAACCCAGGTCCAGCCAACAGCATCTCCGAGTAGGCCTGGGAGGAGGCACTAGCAAGGACTCAGGAAGCCAGAGCTCCAAGACTCGGCTCAAAGGCAGCCACTGGACGTGAAGGCAGGTGGGTGCTGCTTCTCCACAGCCCATCGTGGTGGGAATATGGAATAACCACCCTGATAGAAGACTTTCCCCATCTGGAAAATCAGGACAATTTACTCCACTCCTTGGGGGAGAACATCTGCAAGACTGTTCAAGCCATCCTTCCTCCTTCCACATCATGCGTCCAGGATGTGAGTGGTGCAGCCCCCAGAGAGCAATGTCCGGGCCATCATGCACTCTCCCCCGACTGGGGCCCCCTCCATGTGCACATACCTCTGCTGGGGGGTGGGCACTGAGGACAGCATATACCCCACTCTGCCCTCCCTCCCCAGCACCACGCACAGACTCAGCCCCCTCCCACAGGCAACCCCACCCCCACACTCCTTACCATTTTCCCTGCAAAGCCCACTTCCAAGAAGGGGTCCACCAGGTTCTTCTTGTTACTGTCAAAGCCAAAGATCTGCTTCACATTGTCCATCACAGCATCGTCCACTGGGGAAGGACACACTGGTCACTGACTGCTCCCCCATCTGAAAGCCTCAATTTTCCATCACTGTCCAAGCAGTCGGTCTCTAGCATTCCCCCCCCCCCTCCTTCCTCCACAGGCCCTTCAGTGCTGGGCCTCCAGGCCATGCCACCTCCTTCCCCAACTCAAAACAGCCTGTCCACTGTCCCCTCTGTTCTCGAAGACTCCAGAAGAGCTTCACCAACTGACCACTGTCATGGGTGGGTTAGAGATCCACACTGAAGGGTGACAAATAATGCAGGGAAGGAGGAAAGTGGCTCCGAAAATATCTTGTTATTGGCACTTTGTTTATATCTGTAGGTGCAGTGGGTTACCTAGAATTAACCAATAAGTCAATTCTATTTTTTAAAGAAACTATGGGAGCTGGGGGTGTGGCCCAGTGGTCCAGGGCTTCTGAGACTCTAGTTCTATCCCTAGTACTTTGGGGGGGGGGGCAGGAATCAAAGCTATACTAACATATTACTGAGTTATCCATATCACATACATATGTGGGTAATTATGGGTAGATATACATACATTTGCATGTATAAAAAATGTATGCATGCAGATAAAAAAGAGCGCAAGGAGGGGATAGTGGAAAAATTGGGGGTGATATCCCCCAGTATATAACAGGTATACACTGGTTAATGGCTGCATGAATGTTTAAGAGCAACAAAAGCAAATTGCTGGCTTACCCAGATACTTATTTCTATTTAAACAACATTGCAAAAGCTGACCGCAAAACTCCTGCACCAAGAGCAAATGTGGCTCTTGCCTTCCCTTTGGAAGCTCACTGCCTCGCTTCTGCTGCCTTAACCCATACACGCAGAATGCTTTTAAACATGTTTTTAATGCCCAGTTGATAACCAATCTACATTTAGAGGTTTTCCCTGCGATTTTTGTCTGATTAGCTTAAACAACAGGAAGCCATTTCATTTACTGAAGTCATTAGTCAAAGCAGAAATCTTCAATCAACTAATTTTCTGCAAAACTTTCAAGCCCAAGTTATGGCTGGAGACAGAGAGAGAGAGAGAGAGAGAGAGAGAGAGAGAGAGAGAGAGAGAGAGAGAGAGAGAGAGCAACATGTGACCGTTTTTGCAAATTCTGCCACAGACAGCCACTGACCTGATTATACTAGCAAATATTCCCAAAGACAGCCTCAAATGAAACAAAACCAGAAATGCAACCCAAACCCTGAGAGCTTTTAAGAACAACCAGAGGCTGTGGATGTGGCCCAGTTATAGAGCTCTTGCTTTGCATGCATGAGGTACTGGGTTCAATCCCCAGCACTGCAGAAATATCAAGTCCTACCAGGATGATTTAAACATGCAGCCTGACTGACTCCCACGGCCCTAAAATATTCAATATAATTCCCCAGCATCTCCCACCACCGGGAGAGTCCTACATGGGGCCAGCCTTGGGGGCCAGCTTTGGGGGCGGTGGATATAGGGGGTAGATGGAGAGGACTTGGCCACTGCCAGGATTTGCCACCGTCCCAAACACCATCACTCCCCGCGCTCAGTGCCGAGTCGGGGAGGAAGATTAGGACAACAGGGCCCAGAACCTGTGGTGGTCTCCATCAGGGGCAACTGATCCCATGTGGCAGCAAGAACTACCCCAACCCTGGTCTGGGGATTCCCCAGGAAGGACAGAAGATCAGGGCACTCCAGCCCCCGAGTGCAAGTGTTGCTGGGACCCCCAGAGAGAACCTGGGAAGCGATGACCGGGAGGGACTCGCAGGTGCCACTAGGAGAGTCTGGTAGCACCCACACCACCCCTGGCAAGGAAGAGGGCCAGGGGGAGCAAGGGTGCAGGGGACCCCCAAATGCAGGAGCTGTACTCACTTTGGGGCAGGTCCTCGGCGCGGAAGATCTTCAGGCGGAAGTGCGCCCCACGGAGGGCCACGCCCGTGGGCCGCAGCAGGTTGCTCTCGATGTCCTCCTTGTCCTCAGAGGGGTCTTTTCTCTCCACCTACAACCAAGCACGACCCTCCAGCATGTCATGCTCTTGAGCATCCAAATCCCTGCCCGCTGTGGGCCACAGGGGTGCACCGTGGGCAGCTTGTTCCAGAGAGTGGCTGTACTCCTGAGACCCCCAGCCCTCTCTGGCCATCAGGAACAAATAGGGGCCAGAAAGGCAGCCCAAGTGGGGAGCACCTGCCCAGCATAGGAAGTGGCTGGCCCGGGCTCTTCTCCCACTCCCCGTGGCACCCTGGAAACTGTTTCAGGCCCTGAAAAAAATTTATAACTTTGGGGGCCAGAGCAATCGCACAGCGGGGAGGGCTTTTGCCTTGCACACGGCTGACCCGGGTTTGATCCCCAGCATCCCATATGGTCCCTGAGAACCACCAGGAGTAATTCCTGAGTGCATGAGCCATAACCCCTGAGCATCACCGGGTGTAACCCCAAAAAAGCAAACCTATATATTAAATAACATATAAATTATACAATGATGCATAAATTTTACAATAATATATAAAATAACACGTATAGTTATATTACATATAAATATAACTTTTAAGTTTTAAATCGTGCAGAAGGGACGGTCTAAACCAGCCACTGTCTTCCTGAAGGTCCGTTCATGTGACATGTGAGTGGCCACTAGGTGGCAGCGTTATGCTGAAGGGCTAGAAAGCCCACAGAGGTCCTAGCCAGGGGAGCTGCAGTTCAGAAGGAAAAGCCAACATGAAGTCAGTCCTTTCCTCCCCCACTGGCTGGGATGCAGATGTGATAACAGGAACTGAAGCAACCCTCTTGTCCCAAGGGGTGGCCGCAGCTGCCTGATGTGTGAAGGGCAGGCCCCAGGACTCAGACTAGTGGGGAGCGCCATGCAGTCAAACCACACCAGCACTTAGGGGAGGAATCAACTCTCATCTTTCCTCACGCCTATCACTCAGGGCATGTCGTTACAGCAGCAGAGCCCAGACCTTCATTCACACCACGGTCCATGTAAGAGAGTGTAGTGGCACGTGTGAATGCATATGTGCATGTGCATGAGTGTGCATGTGTGCACGTGGTGCATGTAAGAGTGTGTAAGCACAAGTGTGAGTGTGTGTATGTGCATATGCATGTAAGTGTGGTGTCATTGTGCACGTTTGGGAGAGTGTGAGTGTACCTGCATGGATGTGCAACATGAGCATGTGGTGGACATGTAAGAGTATTTGAGTGTATGTGCATGTGTGTGGATATGTGTGTGAGTATATGTGAGTGTGTGCATATTAGTGTGGTCCCAAGTGATTGTGCGCATGTAAATGTGAGTGTGCATATGTCATACATGTGCATGTGGCATATGTCAGATTATGAGTGTGTGTGAATGTGTGTGTAAGAATGTGAGTATATGTAAGTATGTGCATGAGTGTAATGCCACATGATTGTGTGCATGAGAATGTGAGTGCACATACATGTAGTACATGTCAGAGTGTGTGTGTGAATGTGTGTGAGAGTGTGAGTATACATGAGTGTGTGCTTATGAGTGTGGTGCCTTGTGACTGTGTGCATGCAAATGTGAGTGTGCATACCTGTGCATGTGGTACATGTCAGAGTGTGTGTGTGTGAATGTGTGAGTGTGAGCATATGCGAGTGTGTGCATATGAATGTGGTGCCGTGTGATTGTGTGCATGCGAATATGAGCATGCATAATTGTACATGTGGTACATATCAGAGTGTGAGAGTGTGTGTGAGTGTGTGTGAGAGTATAAGTATATGTGAGTGTGTGCGTGTAAGAGTGTGGTGATGCTTGACTGTGTACATGTGAATTAGAGTGGGCCTATGTGTATGTGTTGGGTGCACATGTCGGAGTGGGCATGAATGTGCCTGGGTGAGTGTGTGAACATGTGCGTGCACGTGCGTGTATGCATGTGCGTTCATGACTGTGCGTCAGTTGCGCCCCTCCCCCCACCATGAGGAGGGTCAGGCTGTGTACTCACAGGCGCTTCATCTCCGGGCCCCAACACACACAGGCTGGCTTTCAGGTAGCCTCTGGCACCCGCAGAGAAATCATCAGGGTCGGACAGTAGCAGCCACTTGCGGAGGTAGGCGTGTCCTAAGAGAGACCAGGTACCCTGGTGACCACACGGTCAGCACAGCCGGGATCTCAGCCAAGATCCCGGGGAGTCGTGGACTCATCTATCCCCTGGGAGGTGGAAACAGACTTCAAACACATCCTTGGCAGCAGACACTTGGGCACGCATGGGGGTTAGAGAAACCTCTAGCAGAGGCTGCCAAAGCCAGGCGCAGGGTCATTCCCTCTCTCTCAGGAAGAGCCCAGAGCAGGGCAGGAGCCAGGACCTCCAGCATCCTTGCTCAGTGCCTTCCAGAGTTAGTATCACTGGTCAGGCCAACTGAGACCTGTTGAGGGCCTGATCCGCCTGAGGCCATGACCGAACACCTGTCCTCACTGCATCTCTGAGATCAACCTTCCTCAAAGGTCCCAGGTCCCAGGGAGAAAGAGAGAATTCCCAGATGGGGCCCCAGGAAGCCACCAAAACTGAAGTGCAAGAAGTGGCCGGAGGGAGGAGAAATGACTCACGGGGCTCCCTGTAGATGGTCCCCACGTCCATCTGAAATTAAACAGGAAACAGAGATCAGACTCTTGCCTGTTAACTAGGGCACATTCATAAGTGCAAAAGAAACCATGTTTTGAGAATATCTGGAGACACAAAGAAGCATTTTGATGCATCTGATGATCTTTGAGGCAAAGGAAAGGCAGAGCAAAGGAAGCCCAACAGAAGGGCAACTGCTGTGTTCCCTGGTTGTGGATCTGAATAATTCTCATTGTGCACTGATTCTTGCCACATTGTGTCTTCCCAATTTTTTTTAAAGTTGCAAGTGGACCAGAGAGGTAGGTCAGAGGGCCAGAGTGCACACTTTGCAGGCTGGAGGCTGAAGTTGGTTCCCCAGTACCACACGGTCCCCTGAGCACGCCTGGGAGCGAACCCACAAAGCACAGAACCAGGACAAAGCAAAAAAAGTCACACATCAGCAGGATGTTGAAGGTAGGGGGAGGCAGTGGGTTTGAGGGAATTCTGTACTTTCTGCTTTATTTCATGAATCCCCTAACGCTGCTCTTAAAAAAAAAGGGGGGGGGTTGACCACAGATTACTTTGATAATGATTGGGAGAGAGTAAGTTTTTAATTGAACGTTTGGAGTCTCAGAACAAGGACATGTTTCAACCATGGGATATTCCAAACATAATCAAGACCCATTGGTTCAAAATGTCCTGGGCTCCAGCCCACTTCTTTAAAAAAATTAATAAATAAATAAAAATAAAATGCTTTTCCAAGAAAATGACTTGATTTCTGTCTTGGACCAGCCGTACATTATTTGGAGAGCCAGGGAAAGTCTAATGCAAGCCCATGCCCTGTCGCTCCACCTGATCAGCCCTGAACATTCCAGAAGGAACAAATCTACTGAGAATCACATGAAAACACCCCTCACGGAGCTACAGAGTAGCTACAGAGTGTAACAGACACAGAGCTACAGAGCCTACTGGGATGGACCTGGGCGCTCTCTGTTCAGCCCTCGGCTCTCCAAGGTGAAGCACCCAGTTCTGTCTGTCTGGGACAAATGAGAGGCACAGATCACTTCTCTCCCCATGCCCCCTACCTCATGCACTCCAGACAGGTGGATAGGCTGTCTGGAGTGCATGAGAAAAGCTCCTGAGGAAGGGGAGAAGTTTACCCGGAACTCCCCAATGAGGGCGTCGGTCCTGAGGGAACGGGAGTCCACTACCTGGAGAGAGAAGGAAGTGTCAAGTCCCATAATCCAGTGCATGCTGGCTCAAACAGCGCCCAGCTCAATAACCTCTATCCCCACTGACCTCAGCCAGCGTCTACAGGGCTCCCGCTCCCCTGTGGAGACTGTTCTTCACAGAGCCTGGCCCCCAGAAGAGCCCTCAAGCAGGTGTTATCATTCCCCCACTCTACAGACAGAGGCCCACACACGCAGGCTTGGATCACATCCAATCTCAATGGCGGGATGAGGACCCACTGTTTCCTCCTGAGCACATGCCCTTAGCCACTGAACTAGACTGCCCTTCCAGGGACTTGAGGGGGGAAAATTATTGTTACAGCCCGGCAATGAAGTCTTGGACAGAAGCACAGGGATGTTCAAAATAAGGTGGGTAGTCACGTGGCCACAGCAGGGGTAGGGCGTAGCGGGGCACGGAGCTGAGAAGGCAGGCTTGGGGCATGTGCTCCTTCCCTGTCTGCTCTTGTGTCACCCGAGTCACAGAGCCCATCACTAGCTGCTCCCTTCACTACGCCTGTGACACACATGCTCACCCTGACCCACGCACACACTGACACAGTGCTCACACGTGTGCACTGAGATGCACATATGTGCAAGCTGACAGTCACCCTGCAACGAAGACAGCAGCACACATGTGCACAGACATGCACCCATACACATATGCATACTGGTTTGCAGGCATGTACATATATGCATGTGCACAGTGCTCTATGCACATGTGATCGCTGGTGTGTACATGCATGCTGGAATGCGCAGATGCACGCAGACATGCACGCTGGTATACACACACTGGCACACAGACATGCATGTCGTGCGCACCATATGCGTGCACGCTGCTGTGCACATATTCACGTGGGTACACAGACATGCATGCTCGTGTGCACATATCTTTATGTGTGTGCAGGCATGCACTCTGGGGTGCACTCATACATCTACATGCAGACACAACCTCCAGTGCACACACACACATGCACACGCAGACGTACACACTGGTGCACACAAGCGCTGGCACATACTCCAGTACTGGCGCCTCTGTGAATGGACATGCCAGGGGGAAGGCCAGGTCTGTAGACACGTACCGTGATGAAAATGGGCTCGTCAAACAGCTCCGCTGGGGAGTCAAATACGTTGAAGAAAAGAGTCTGCAGGGTTCAGGGCAAAGGGGAGACAAATGAGTCCATGCTGGCCTCCCTGCCCCTTACACCACCCTCAGCAGGGTCTGGCAGGGCGGGTCATTCAGTCACAGAGCCCTGTGCTGAGCTCCGCTGGAACAGGCTCTGAGTTGGTCCTTACCCGACTGTCTGCTTGGGGACAGGCAGTCACAGAGACATGGGGTTACAGGGAGCGAGGGGGTCATGGGGACACGAGCAATTGGAGCCCAGGGCAGAAATCAGAGCCAGAGTTTCTCCCCATCCCTGAGAGGCCTGCCCGGGCCTGCCACATCTCTCCATGCACAGCCGCAGCTGTCGAAGCCAAGAGGTCCCCAGCAGGGAAGCGCCACCCTGACCAGCGTCCCCCACCTCGCTGAAAAGCGGGCTGTTTCCCTTGTGAATCCGTGTCCTCTTGGTCTGCCCAGCAGCCGTAACCTTGACCACGGGCTTGATGTTCACCCCTGGCAGCTGGCGCCCCTCAATCACCTGGACCCTGATCTGAAAGGCAGGAGGAGAACATGAGCAGCAGGAAGAGGAGACGCCAAGGGCCTCCTGGAACGGCCTCACTAGTCAAAGGGGAGTGAGAAAGAGCCTGTAAGGACCGTCAGAATCGAGAAGATCCCACCAGGCCGCCCAGGTGGCTAACAACTTCAGCATGTCAGCCCCTCTTAACCCTGGCTCTGGTGTCTCTGAGAGGCTTCCACACACTCCCCTGAATTCCATCCACAGTGAAACGGACACCAGGAAGGGAACCCACTTTTTCTTGATAGTTTCAGATGCAACATTTTCTCACACCCTGAGGAATATTGGTTTTCACCATTCTGCTATGACATAAATGAAGATATATCTGTGCTTTGATAAAATACAAAAACTAAGAAATATAAAAATACTAAGACCATTTTCATGGAAAATAAAATATTTATAGTGTGGGTGGGTCTGTAGATCTGTGAATGAGTCTGTGGATCTCTGGGTGGTTTGTGGGTCTGTAGGTCTGTGAGTCTGCAGATGAGTCTGCAGATCTGAGGGTCTCTGGGCGGGTCTGTGGGACTGTGGGTGGGTCTGTGGGTCTGCGAGGGGGTCTGTGGGTCTGTGAAGGGTCTGTGGGTCTGTGGGGGTCTGTGGGTCTGTGGAGGGTCTGTGGGTCTGTGGAGGGTCTGTGGGTCTGTGAAGGTCTATGGGTCTGTGGAGGGTCTGGGGGGTTGTGAGGGGGTCTGTGGGTCTGCAAGGGGATCTATGGGTCTGTGAGGGGGTCTGTGGGTCTGTGGAGGGTCTGTGGGTCTGTGAGGGTCTATGGGTCTGTGGAGGGTCTGGGGGCTTGTGAGGGGGTCTGTGGGCCTGCAAGGGGGTCGGTGGGTCTGTGAGGTGGCTGGTGGGTCTGTGAGGGTCTGTGGGTTTGTGAGGGAGTCTGTGTGTCCTTGAGGGGGTCTGTAGGTCTGTGTAAGGTCTGTGGATCTGTGGAGGGTCTGGGGGTCTGTGAGGGGGTCTGGGGAGGGTCTGTGAATATCCTGGTGGGTCTTTGGGTGGGTTTGTGAGTGTGTGTGTGGGTCTGTGAGTGGGTCTGTGGTATGTGGGTGTGTCTGTGGCTCTGTGAGTGGGTCGCAGGTCACTCTCCCCTCACCTGGAAGTCCTGTGGCTTGTCCGACAGCACCCTTCTGGGTGCGGGTGTGGTCTTCTTCCTTCTGCTCCCGGGGTAGGGAGGAGGATGGGAAGGTGGCTTCCTGGGGGTGGCGGGTGCCCCCGGACCTGGGGCTCCGCTCTGCTCCAGGAAAGGCTCTGTCTCATCTCCCGTGAGCCCTGGGTCCTCGGTGTCCTCCTCTCCTGTGTCTATCAAGGGGGTGCAGTGAGTGAGCCCTGGTGTCCCGCCCAGCCCCTAGAGGCTACCCTGGCCCTGGCTTCCCCACGGTGAGACGAGACAGATGAAGAGGAGGAGGAGGTACTTCCAGCAGCAGAGACGTGGCGTGAGTCCAGTTAGTGGTCAGGAAGGAGAGAGAATGGCCCCCCAACTGCCAGGCCCCCAGGCCCAGCCTGAGAGTGACCAGAGATGAGGGTACGCGAGACAGTTAGGCGGGGTCAGACCCAGCGCCTGGCCGGCGGCTCACCCGTGGGGGCCGGCCACTTCTTTCCAGAGTATCTCGTGTCCACGGTGCTGTCACTGAGCAGAGACCAAGTCTCGGCCCGGCTCTGTCCCCCACCTGGCACATGGGCAGGGCAGAGCCCAGGAGAGCAGGAGGGAGCTAGGTGAGGGGAGCAGGACAGCCCCCAGCCCCACCCAGCCCCCTGCCCCAGCTTGGCAGAGACCCCCCACCACGCCTCACCCAGAGGCCCTTTCTGCTGGGGACTGGCCCTCTCTCTACTTTCACCTCCAGGAACCCTCCTCAAGGGGCCTGACCTCCGTCCTTCAGGCCCATTCCCAGAGCCTCCAGGCCCTCAGCCCTTCCCGCCTCACCCGCTGCTGGTAACTCAGGCGACACCCCAGACCAACTCCCAGTCTCAGCGCAAACACTGCGGACTGAGAAACAGGGCCTACTGTGGCAGGGGATAGAGCAAGGCTGGGCACAGGCTTTGCAGGCCAGAGCCCTGGGTCCAATCCCCAATCCCCACTGGCAGTGACCAGGAGCACTGAGCTGGGAGTAGACCCTGGGTACCACTGGTGTGGCAGGCTTAGGGCACATCCCTACGGGGCTTATCACCAGGTTTGCCTCTTGCTCCCTCCACCAGGAAACTCTGTTGTTGTTGTTGTTGTTGTTGTTTTACTTTTTGGGTCACACTTGGTGATGCACAGGGGTTACTCCTGGCTCTGAACTCAGGAATCACTCCTGAAGGTGCTCAGGGGACCATTTGGGATGTTGGGAATCGAACCTGGGTTGACCGCGTGCAAAGCAAACACCCTACCCGCTGTGCTATCGCTCCAGCCCCTAGGAAACAAACTCTGGAAATGTGGCCCGGGAACAAGCCCCCATCTGGCCCATGTACCGTGCCCCCGCCCCACCTGGCAACCACAGGGGCCTCCCACACCCTCTCAGGGCCAGGCGCCCCATCCTGTGCTGCTGCAGAGAGCCAGACAGAGGCATGAGACAAGAGCTGGGACTGAGCTAGCTCAGTCTGCTCATTTTACAAGTTAATGCAGTCAGCCCAGAGAGGGACTAGAAACAGCCCAAAGTCACACAGCGGCGTGGCACCAAAGGCAAGACTAGAACTCCCATCCCCTGACTTCAGCCCTGGGTTCTCGCATGGAGCCCCTAGCTCTGTTGCTGCAGTGCCCCAGGCCTGCCGGGAGCATCCAGGCCTCCATCCCAGCACACCTGCCCAAGCCCTGGGCAGGGATCGGTCCTCACCTGAATGAAGCCTGGCAGCAGCCCTCAGCCCTCCCTGCCCACAGCCTCTCCGCTCTGGGCTGCTGGCTGTGTCCTCACTGCGGTCCTCCCTGGGTGTGAAAGCACCTCTGGGCTCCCCCCAACCCGTGGCCCCCACCCCCACCTGCTCCTCACCGGCCATCATGTCCAGGTCAGGCAGAGTTGGGGAAGGTTCCAGAGACGCTGATGGGGGGAAAGGGGGCACGGCTCCCGGGAGGGGTGTGTAGGACACCTGCAGGACCAGCGAGGCCTGGAAGAGATGGGGAGTGGGTGGGTGGGCTGGCCTCGTACTCCACCCCGCCAAGTGTGCCCTCTTCTCCCTTCAATGGGACAAGGGCTGTCAGACTCGTGGCCTGGGTAAGGAAACACTCGCACAGCAGGCAGGGGCCCATCTGTGCATCCTGCACCCCTCCCGAGCTCCAACCCTGGCGCCACGTGGTCCCCTGAGCATCACTGGGTCTAGCCCCTCAAGCAGCACCACGTGCATTCTCAGGTCCTGACGTTGGGTAACTGGACATTGGCGGAGCATTGTCAGGAGTGGCCTCCAGGCCTCCTGAGCACCCCACCAAAAAAAAAAATACAGAATCTGGAATAGGTCCCACCCCTCAGCAGCTGCGGGAGCCTGAGCAAAATTGTCCCCTCTCTGTGCTGAGAACAGGTATGGACATAAGACTTCCCAGTCTCAGGGAGGCACGGATGGGCTGACAGGATGGGTCAGCGGTTCCAGTGAGGGTCATGACAGAGGTCACGGCAGAGGCTTACTGATGGCACATGTATGATGGGCCTAGGGGAGAGGGCTGGGAGGGAATTGGGGTGCACTGCTTGCAATGGAGCTCAGGTGCAGGGCCCACTGCCCGGCCTGTGTGACAGCACGTGGGGTGCGAATCCCAGGGCTCTGCTGTGGTGAGACACATGAGCAAGTGACTATGGTACATGTGCCCTAAGGATGGGCCCACGTGGACCTTCAGCTCTCAGCCTGGACGCTCTTCGGGAAAAAGCGCTGTGACCATTGCTCAGTCAAAGACTCATGCGCACACACACAGGCATTCATACACAGGCATACGCCTATACACATATGAGTACCTGTGCGTACATAAACATACACATGTATACACATACATTCGCACACTCACACAGACCTGTTTCTCCAGAGATAGGCCAGTTTTGCTCTTCTGTTCAGGCTCAGATAACTCCAGGGGGTCTCAGGTGCCCTCAGCTTCTGGGGCCCCTCTCCCTCCTGAAGCTCTCCTGACCCCAGCTCCCCGCAGTCATCCCACCTCTGACCACTGAGAGGCGAGTCTGGCCCCACCACTCACACGAATCGGGGGATGCTGCCTTGAGCGCCCCCCACCAGCCCACCCACCAGACCTGCACTGTTCAAGGCCTCAGGCTGAAGCCGGGCTGGACCAGGACAGCCCCCGGTCCCAGCTCCTTTGCAGCCACCAGGATCTGAGTATCCCTGGCAACACAAGCCCGACAGGCCCTTCCGGGGCAGACTTCATATTGCCCAGACTGGTCAAGCCTGCATTTAAGAACATTTGGAAGGCACAAACACTTGTGTGAATGTATCACTGTTTAAATGGCTGCAATTGTCCCACTGTTCACATTTGACACATTTCTAACACTTTTTAATTATGGCATACAGCTCTGCTGTCTATCAGGTATTTTGCTTTTACTTCTTGTGAGACAATAGGTATTTTTCCAGGTTTTTGTTGTATGATTGTTCCTGATGTAATAGCGTCAAAGCTATTCTAGCACAAAGCCCTTGACCCAAAGGTGCAGGTCCTGGGTGAGATCTGAAAGGTTCTGGTTGTTCGCATCTGGGGCTCAAACCCTCCAGCAGAGAAGTGGTGAGAGGCAGCCAGGCCACGGGAAAGCAGGGCCAGTAGGAAGGTGGGACTCTGGACACTGAGAAAGGAGGACAGGAAGGCAAAGAGACAGACCCTTTCAGGTCAGAACAGCGGTGGTGCCTCGCCCATCTTGCAGGTTCCATATGCACCACTAGGTGTCGCCACTTGAAGGACCAGCGCTAGCAAAGTGAGTCGGGGGCGTTGAGGGTTGAGGGAGGCGAGATTTGGCTTTCACTATAGTGTTGCTTCAAGGCTAAACTGGTTTTGAAGACTGTGCTGCAGTTATGTAGTAAAAACTCCATAACCATAAAAAATAAAATACTAAACTTAGGCTGTTTGGACGCTTGGACGACAATTTAATCTGAAATTATGTAGGATAAAATGCTTTCTGTACTTGCTGCTTTTCTCTAACTCTTACATTAATTTTATTATTTTTTATTATTTTTAATTTAATATAAGAATACTGTTTCTGCTGCAACTACTGGAATCTCATGAGACTCCTATGAGAGACAGGAAGTCCCCCACCCCATGCCCCAGTCAGGCCCCACCCTCCGGAAGTGCTATAAAACCACCAGCCAAATAATTCACAGGCCCCGTGCAAAAAATAGAAGTCTCTCATTCAAAAAAAAATTTTTTTTTTATTTTTCAGTTCCAAGGATCAAACCCAGAACTTAACAAATGCAAGCCATGAGCTACATATACCTTGACCCCACTTTTTTTCCAAAATTATTAGGAATTTTGAGATGGTGGCAGCAGAGAATCAGCAAACACAAGCCCAATACAATGAGGCTGGGATCTTTACTGGGCTCAGCCTGAGCTGGGCCTGTATCATAGAGATGGGACGTGGGGGATCCATTGGACACAGGTGGCCTGACCCATCACTTCTTCTCCCCACAAACACAGACCACGCACCCCACAAGACACCTGGTTACTTCCCTAAGTAAAGCAAAGACTCCTACCCAGTGTTGACAACATCTGAGCAGAACACAGAGATGCAGCAGCAAAAACAGACAAACACACAACTTAGAGCATCTGTTATAAAGAGAGGAGAGGGCCAGAGAGATGGCATCGGGTTCATGCACATACGGGACCCCAGCTCTACCCAGGCACCACATATGGTCCTCAGAGCACCCCCAGGGCTCTCCTGAACACTGAGCTAGGCCTGAGCAGAGCAGGCTGCACCCTTCCTCAGACATGGGGGAGCAACAGCCAACCCGGCTTAGAACTCTGCGCCTGTGTCATTGGTGCTGTACACCTGGGTCACAAATGTCCTCTGCAAGAGCACCACGAAATGTTCCAGCTGTGCTGAGAGGCCCTCGTGGCCATGAGGAACACTGAGAAACCAGAGTTGAGACAGGCATGAAGGGAAGAGGATGGGCTCCGAGCAGGGCACCAGAGAGTGGACAGGCATGAGAGGGTGAAAAGGGGCCTGAGCAGCACTGAGAGTGGACGGGCGTGAGGGGGTGAGGACAGGCCCTGATCAGGGCAGTGAGCAGGGTCAGCCTCCAGCGAACCAGAAAAAAGAACAAATAAGTGCTCGGGGAGGGACACTGCCTCAGGAGAACATTCCAGCATCCCTAGGGCAGGAATGAGGAAGACATACAAGTCACGGCCAGCCTGGGAAGATAGGCGCTGGGGTCCTGTGATATTTGTTTCCGCTGAACATGGACTTGCTTGGGACCTGAGTCGTGCCTTGCCCTGGGCTCAGAAAACAGTTGTGCTTTTACTCAGAGCTAGGCCCGGACTGGCCAGCCAATCCAGGCAAGGGCCCCAGTTTCCCTCTGTCTGTCTATCTCTGTCTGTCTCTGTCTGTCTCTCTGTCTCTGTCAGTCTCTCTCTTTCTCTCCCCTCCCCCGTACCACACACACACACACACACACACACACACACACACACACACACACACACTTCTGGGGAGGAAGTATTTCCAAATCGATAATCGCCCAGTGCACCCTGGGAAGTGGGGCAGCTCCAAGGGGAGGTCAGGCACTTGACTGACCAGGAAGAACCCCGCGGGGTATATTTAGCTCTCTAAAAATAACAGGAGGCTAGAGATGAGGGCTGGGAATTGTCGGAGAGGACTGGGAGGCACTGGGCAGGTTGGGGAAGGAGCAGGAAGGACGAAGGAGGAGAGGAAGGGGGGTCTGACAGCCCTGGTGGGCATGGGAGCCGACTGTCTCCCTTTCACCTGTGACCCAGATGACTCAGAATTCCAGGTCTGGAGCAGAGGCTACTGGGAAGATGGGGCCAGTCATAACCAAGACTTCCTGGACACGTGGGAAGATATGGTGAGTCCAAGGAACCGCCCACTCCCAAGGCAACAGAGATGGGTGAAAGGGGCCAGACCCAGGCGCACTTACCCCCGTGGGTTGCTTCTTGGTGTCCAGCAGGGGAGCGTTGAAGCTGGCAGAGAGACTGGGGGTGGCAAGGACCTCCCTGAGAGGGACCTTGGCTTCACCCAGAAACCTGCAAGGAGAGAATGATGGAATGTATGAGCCTGGCCCAGTATGTCCATTCTCCACAGCGACCCCCCAACACACGCCACTTACACACTCTGCGGACAAGGCCAGATGGCCGAGAGTGACATAGTCACCCAGATCTCAAGACTCCCCGGTGCCCTCTGCACCACTGCTGGGACACCAGGCCACTGTCCCTGCAGGAGAGGGCTAAAAGCCACCTTTCCATCCCCCAAGCCAAGCTCGTCCACCCTGTGCCCATTCCACTCCCACACATGGGAGTTTCTGCCCACCAGGATGGCTCTGTGCGTGTTTCCCAGGGTTGGACCAGCAATGATCAGGGTCTTCCCTGCCTTCAAAGGTGAAGAAACAGGGCAGGGAGACGAGCCTGCATAGGCGAGACCCCTCAGCGCACAGCGAGAAGGGGCCCGGGAAAAGAAGGGTCACAGGAAGAACTGGACATTGAGAGAGTCCAGACAAAGGCTGTGGGCCTCAGCCACAACACACTGGGCCAGAGAAAGACACGGATTCAAGCATATGCCTCAGTCACATCTGATCCTGGTTCGATACCCAGCACCTCCTCTGGGTACCTGGGCATCACCAACAGTGACCCTTGAGCACAGAGCTAGAGATAAGCCCTGAGCAATGTGGGGCATTGTCGGGCTCAAACCACACGCACACACACACACATAAACTGCATTTGCTGGGGTCACAGATGATGGTGGTGGCTACAGCTTATGTCCCAGGCTCTGCTTTCAACTCTGCACCCCACGGTGACTGGAGCAGCAAGCAGTGGTGGCTCTTGGCCCTGCTCCTGGGTTCTGTCCCAGTGCATAAGTGGCACACTGTCCCTGGGAGCCCTCTGGTCCTAGGCTCCAGAGCACCAGGCCCAATCAGGGTTCTTATGGCTGTGTGAAATAAAACATATTTGACCTAACAGCTGGTACTAGAAACCAGTGAAGTAAGATACTATAAATTCTTTTCAACTGAAAAAATGGAAAATAACATGTGTTGGTGAGGATGTGGAGAAGCTGGAACCTTACAAACTACTGTAGAAATTGAAAATGGTACGGTTACTATGGACAATGGTGGCTATATGGGACGTGGTGCAGTTCCTGTGGACAATGGTGGCTATATGGGATGTGATGCAGTTCCTATGGACATTGATGGCTATATGGGATGTGGTGCAGTTGCTATGGACAATGGTGGTTATATGGGATATGACCTCCCTGAGCACCACCAGAAATAGCCCCGGTAGATCCCAAACGCTGCCTTGTGTAGCCCTTATCTTATTTATTCAGTTTTGGTATTTCAGTCATACCTTGCTATACAAAGGGGTTACACCTGGCTCTGAACTCAGAAATTACTCTTCCTGGTGGTGCTCACAGGACCATATGGGATGCCAGGATCAAATTCAGGTCAATCATGTACAAGGCAAGGGCCCTACCCACTATTTTATCTCTCTGGCCTCAAGTAAACCTTATTTTAAAATTAAACACACATAGAATGACCTCCTGACCCAAAAATTTGACTTCTGGCAATCTAAATGTTCTACTCTTGGATAAATGTCCCCCTATTACTTTAAGCCAGGGCTCCCACATATCTGTATATCCATATTCAATGCAACATGATTTAAATTCACAAAAGCCACTGGGGGAGCAGCAAGCACCCTGCTTCCGTTAACAGGCCCAGCAACAGACCAATGAACCAAACATGGCATAACAAGGTTAAGGAATATTACTCAGCCCTAAAAAGGAATAAAACTCTGACAAGTGTTTCCATCTGGTAAGCCCTGGAGATGCTGTGCCAGACGTGAGAGCACAAAGAGGACCAGATCCCCTTATAGGATCCATGAGACAGGCAAACCGCAGAGATTGGGAATGAGCAGGCATTCCCCGGGTGGGGAAAGGAGTGAAGGAGGCTGAGAGTGGATGCAGGAGCAGGGCATCCTGGAGACGGTGCAGTGATCGCTACACAGTTTCCCAGACATGGTCAGTGCAGCGCTGATAGTTGCAGTGCCAAGTGTCGGCACATTTTATCATGAGGAATAAACAAACAAACAAACCAGTAGCAGTTCAAGTACACTTCTGGACCCAAACCAAACAATAATGACTCTTTGACCCTCCTCTTGAACCCCACAGATGCGTGTTTGCTTTGTAGGTCCCCTGACAGCAAGGAAACAAGCCTGGGGCACTCACATAACCAAGATTGCTAAATTTCTTTCAAGAAAGGGCAAAGGGGGACTGGAGGGTGTAATTCAAAGAGTTATCTGTGTTACATGCAAAGGGTTGGCTTCTTGGTACCACAAGGTCTCCCAGCACCCCTAGGAGTGATCCCCAAGCACAGAGCCAGCATTATGCCCTGAGCATCACTGGTGTGCCCTACATGTCCCCCAAAAAAAACAAAGATAAAAGAAAGCATTGTAGGGAGACATGTTCTCTAACCCTCATTGCAGGTTCAAAGGGCCTCCCTGAAGCCAGAGATCATGTTGCTAGACTCGAAACTGGTTTGCAGAATCTTCCTTCCCAACACAGGCCAGACCTGTGCCTTGAGTTGATGTAGGCAGGTAAACAGGGAAGGGCACTCATGGCAATGGGATTCCTAGGATGTAAAAACATCAATAGCCTAAGGTTGCAGAAAGCCCACCTTGTGAGCTAAAGGGCCTGATAAGACTTTCACCTGGCACTGGCATCAGACACAGAGCAGGCTGAACATTCCCTGCCACCCCCCACTACGGACACACACACACACACACACACACACACACACACACACGCACACACACACACATACACACACACCCTTGAGAGAAGCTCCAGCAGGAACAAAGGCCAGGGAAAGAATTTCAAAGAGGAAGACCATGGACCATTCCCAACTCTACTGCCTTGGCAACAACCTTAGCAGTGAACTCTTACCTAGCTAGGAAGCCCCCTAAGGGGGCAGGTGGGAGAAACCCTATAAAAGCCAACTGAACAAAGGAAGGAAGTGTATATGCTGCCTTGAGTCCATGTACTGCTTGTGCCCACATGACCAAGCACATGTGTTGTCAGCATCTCTCTTCTTGAGATGTGTACTGGGGCTTTCTCTGTCTCTGGAGAAGCCCACGTTCTCTGTTGAGCGTGTTACACCCTCTCACTTTCTCTTCCTCCTTCCCCTTTCTAAAAGCCCTCCAAATAAAATCTGTTTTACTTCACTGCATGTCTACTCCTGAAATTCTTTTCTGGGAGGCAAGACAAGAACCTGGTAACTCTGGATAAGGCCTGGGACTGACTTTCCTTTCCTGAAAAGAGCAAATCCTCACTCCAACATGAGTACACAGCACCCCTCCTTCCTCTGCCACAAGAAATCAGGTGACAGGGATCAACTCCCATGCTTAGACCAAGTGGACATCAGGTGTGGCTTGACGGTCACCTGGTACGGTTGGCGGGGCTCTGGCCCGTGCTGCGCAGGGGCTCATCACAAACTTTATCAGTCCTGAACTTCCCAAGAGGTCCCAGGGTGACAGAGGAGGATCGGGAGAAAGTGACCATTTCTCTCTTCTCTGCCTCATGTAAGCCACCCATGGGGGTCCACCGACTTCAGGGTCACTAAATGCCCACAACCCAGGGTGGCACTTGGTCAGCCATACCAGAAAGAACAGCTGTGAGGAGGAGAAGACACTGAATCTCACTGGTGACCAGCAACAGCTGCACCAGGAAAGAAACTGAGGCAGGAAGGGCCTGGAGATTCACTCTGGCAGGCTGATGACTCCCAGGATTCCCTGTGGGGACTCCCAGGTGGTCATGTGGGTGGACTCTATCCAGCTGGGGGGCCCTGGGGGCTGGGGACAGGGGCCTGGTAGGGGCCAGAGGTCGCAGAGCAAAGCCCAGCCTGTCAGCTCCCTTTGGGTGGTCAGCCCTCCTGCCTCCACCCAGGAGAATTCCCGGAAGTAGGGCGGGGAACAATGAGAGGAAATGCAGGAGGAAGCCCGGCCCCACCCCTGCCAGCCCGGGCCCTCAGAGCCGGCCTGGAGGGATTGCTTGTTATTTCCTCCCCAAGTCAGGCTCCAGGATTCCCCCCCTCCTGCCCCTGCAGTGGGCCCTGGGCCAGCCCCTTTCAAGAGCTAAGTGGCTCTTCCAGTCTCTTCCCCCCTGGGAGAAAGGGCTGGAGGCTGCCAGCAGCTGCCCCCAGAGAAGCAGGAAGAGGACAGAGTCTCCTGACGGGACAGCCTGAGGCACATGGCAGGAGACTCCACGGCCACTCGGGGTCTTGGAGCATGGGGGAGCCTTGGCTTTATTTAGGGGACCCAAACATTGGAGGGGAAATACCCTCTCCAGAGATCAAGACTGACTCATAGGCCTGGGCAAGTGCTCAGGGGTCAGGCGCATGCACAAGGCCCGACTTTGATTCCTGGCACCCTCTGCTCCCATAAGAACCCCAGGATATGACCCTAAAGGGCCCTGTGGTCCCCTAGCACCTGGATGCGGGAAGCGCCGTCTCCTGTGGCCCTGGAATACTGGCCTATTCCGCCCAGCTGTCCCTGGGAAAAGGCTCTGGGCACCCCAGCACTGCTTAGGATGCCCCAGGAAAGAATGACTCCTGCACCGGGCACGCCAGGGATGCTGAGGGATGCTACGGGCTCATGGCCACCAAGCAGAGGCCCTAAGGACTCAGTCAGGTCAGATAAGGTCAGGAGGGACCTGGGGGAGGAGGAGGGGCCGGCACAGAGCTAGAAATCCCAGAGGACCTTGACCCATTTCCCATCACCATCCTCTCCAGCCCACTCATGCAACAATGCAGCAAAAACACAGCCGCTCTGCTGTTCTCCGGTGCTATTGGAATGTGGAGGCAGAGTGTGGGCGCTGAGAGAACCACTGGCATCCCCGACACGGAAGGAGCCATCAGGAGAGAGAGAGCAGAGCAGGCACAGCCAGTAACTCACTGCCTAGGAGTGTCCCCTGGGAGAAGCCCTGTCCCCAAACTCCCCGCCCACAGAAAGCAGCTCCCCGACCTGCAGTAAGGGCAGCTCCA